ATCCCAAACTTCTTTGTGGCTAGTTTTCAGCACAAATAATTCCCAAACTTCGTTGTGGCTACTTTTAAGCACAAACAACTCCAAACTTCTCTGTGGCTAGTTTTCAGCTCTAATAACTCCCAAAGTTGTTTGTGGCTACTTTTAAGCACAAATAACTCCAAACTTCTTTGTGGCTAGTTTTCAGCACAAATAACTCCAAACTTCTTCGTGGCTAGTTTTCAGCTCAAATAACTCCCAAAGTTGTTTGTGGCTACTTTTAAGCACAAATAACTCCCAAACTTCTTTGTGTGTACTTTTACGCACAAATAACTCCCAAAGTTGTTTGTGACTACTTTTACGCACAAATAACTCTCAAACTTCTTTGTGGCTAGTTTTCAGCAAAAATAACTCCCAAACTAATTTGTGGCTAGTTTTCAGCAAAAATTACTCCCAATTTCTTTTTGGTTAGTTTTCAGCACAAATAACTCCCAAAGTTGTTTGTGGCTACTTTTTTAAGCACAAATAGATCCCGAACTTCTTTGTGGCTAGTTTTCAGCACAAATAACTTCCAAACTTCGTTGTGGCTACTTTTAAGCACAAACAACTCCAAACTTCTCTGTGGCTAGTTTTCAGCTCAAATAACTGCCAAAGTTGTTTGTGGCTACTTTTACGCACAAATAACTCCCAAACTTCTTTGTGGCTAGTTTTCACCAAAAATAACTCCCAAACTAATTTGTGACTAGTTTTCAGCAAAAATTACTCCCAACTTCTTTGTGGATAGTTTTCAGCTGAAATAACTTCCAAAGTTGTTTGTGGCTACTTTTAAGCACAAATAACTCCAAACTTCTTTGTGGCTAGTTTTCAGCACAAATAACTACAAACTTCTTCGTGGCTAGTTTTCAGCTCAAATAAATCCCAAAGTTGTTTGTGGCTACTTTTAAGCACAAATAACTCCCAAACTTCTTTGTGTGTACTTTTACGTACAAATAACTCCCAAAGTTGTTTGTGGCTAATTTTACGCACAAATAACTCCCAAACTTCTTTGTGGCTAGTTTTCAGCAAAAATAACTCCCAAACTAATTTGTGGCTAGTTTTCAGCAAAAATTACTCCCAACTTCTTTGTGGTTAGTTTTCAGCACAAATAACTCCCAAAGTTGTTTGTGGCTACTTTTTTAAGCACAAATAGATCCCAAACTTCTCTGTGGCTAGTTTTCAGCACAAATAATTCCCAAACTTCGTTGTGGCTACTTTTAAGCACAAACAACTCCAAACTTCTCTGTGGCTAGTTTTCAGCTCTAATAACTCCCAAAGTTGTTTGTGGCTACTTTTAAGCACAAATAACTCCAAACTTCTTTGTGGCTAGTTTTCAGCACAAATAACTCCAAACTTCTTCGTGGCTAGTTTTCAGCTCAAATAACTCCCAAAGTTGTTTGTGGCTACTTTTAAGCACAAATAACTCCCAAACTTCTTTGTGTGTACTTTTACGCACAAATAACTCCCAAAGTTGTTTGTGACTACTTTTACGCACAAATAACTCTCAAACTTCTTTGTGGCTAGTTTTCAGCAAAAATAACTCCCAAACTAATTTGTGGCTAGTTTTCAGCAAAAATTACTCCCAAGTTCTTTTTGGTTAGTTTTCAGCACAAATAACTCCCAAAGTTGTTTGTGGCTACTTTTTTAAGCACAAATAGATCCCGAACTTCTTTGTGGCTAGTTTTCAGCACAAATAACTTCCAAACTTCGTTGTGGCTACTTTTAAGCACAAACAACTCCAAACTTCTCTGTGGCTAGTTTTCAGCTCAAATAACTGTCAAAGTTGTTTGTGGCTACTTTTACGCACAAATAACTCCCAAACTTCTTTGTGGCTAGTTTTCACCAAAAATAACTCCCAAACTAATTTGTGACTAGTTTTCAGCAAAAATTACTCCCAACTTCTTTGTGGATAGTTTTCAGCTGAAATAACTTCCAAAGTTGTTTGTGGCTACTTTTAAGCACAAATAACTCCAAACTTCTTTGTGGCTAGTTTACAGCACAAATAACTACAAACTTCTTCGTGGCTAGTTTTCAGCTCAAATAACTCCCAAAGTTGTTTGTGGCTACTTTTAAGCACAAATAACTCCCAAACTTCTTTGTGTGTACTTTTACGCACAAATAACTCCCGAAGTTGTTTGTGGCTACTTTTACGCACAAATAACTCCCAAACTTCTTTGTGGCTAGTTTTCAACAAAAATAACTCCCAAACTAATTTGTGGCTAGTTTTCAGCAAAAATTACTCCAACTTCTTTGTGGTTAGTTTTCAGCACAAATAACTCCCAAAGTTGTTTGTGGCTACTTTTTTAAGCACAAATAGATCCCAAACTTCTTTGTGGCTAGTTTTCAGCACAAATAACTCCCAAACTTCGTTGTGGCTACTTTTAAGCACAAACAACTCCAAACTTCTCTGTGGCTAGTTTTCAGCTCTAATAACTCCCAAAGTTGTTTGTGGCTACTTTTAAGCACAAATAACTCCAAACTTCTTTGTGGCTAGTTTTCAGCACAAATAACTCCAAACTTCTTCGTGGCTAGTTTTCAGCTCAAATAACTCCCAAAGTTGTTTGTGGCTACTTTTAAGCACAAATAACTCCCAAACTTCTTTGTGTGTACTTTTACGCACAAATAACTCCCAAAGTTGTTTGTGGCTACTTTTACGCACAAATAACTCCCAAACTTCTTTGTGGCTAGTTTTCAGCAAAAATAACTCCCAAACTAATTTGTGGCTAGTTTTCAGCAAAAATTACTCCCAACTTCTTTGTGGTTAGTTTTCAGCACAAATAACTCCCAAAGTTGTTTGTGGCTACTTTTTTAAGCACAAATAGATCCCAAACTTCTTTGTGGCTAGTTTTCAGCACAAATAACTTCCAAACTTCGTTGTGGCTACTTTTAAGCACAAACAACTCCAAACTTCTCTGTGGCTAGTTTTCAGCTCAAATAACTGCCAAAGTTGTTTGTGGCTACTTTTACGCACAAATAACTCCCAAACTTCTTTGTGGCTAGTTTTCACCAAAAATAACTCCCAAACTAATTTGTGACTAGTTTTCAGCAAAAATTACTCCCAACTTCTTTGTGGATAGTTTTCAGCTGAAATAACTTCCAAAGTTGTTTGTGGCTACTTTTAAGCACAAATAACTCCAAACTTCTTTGTGGCTAGTTTACAGCACAAATAACTACAAACTTCTTCGTGGCTAGTTTTCAGCTCAAATAACTCCCAAAGTTGTTTGTGGCTACTTTTAAGCACAAATAACTCCCAAACTTCTTTGTGTGTACTTTTACGCACAAATAACTCCCGAAGTTGTTTGTGGCTACTTTTACGCACAAATAACTCCCAAACTTCTTTGTGGCTAGTTTTCAGCAAAAATAACTCCCAAACTAATTTGTGGCTAGTTTTCAGCAAAAATTACTCCCAACTTCTTTGTGGTTAGTTTTCAGCACAAATAACTCCCAAAGTTGTTTGTGGCTACTTTTTTAAGCACAAATAGATCCCAAACTTCTTTGTGGCTAGTTTTCAGCACAAATAACTCCCAAACTTCGTTGTGGCTACTTTTAAGCACAAACAACTCCAAACTTCTCTGTGGCTAGTTTTCAGCTCTAATAACTCCCAAAGTTGTTTGTGGCTACTTTTAAGCACAAATAACTCCAAACTTCTTTGTGGCTAGTTTTCAGCACAAATAACTCCAAACTTCTTCGTGGCTAGTTTTCAGCTCAAATAACTCCCAAAGTTGTTTGTGGCTACTTTTAAGCACAAATAACTCCCAAACTTCTTTGTGTGTACTTTTACGCACAAATAACTCCCAAAGTTGTTTGTGGCTACTTTTACGCACAAATAACTCCCAAACTTCTTTGTGGCTAGTTTTCAGCAAAAATAACTCCCAAACTAATTTGTGGCTAGTTTTCAGCAAAAATTACTCCCAACTTCTTTGTGGTTAGTTTTCAGCACAAATAACTCCCAAAGTTGTTTGTGGCTACTTTTTTAAGCACAAATAGATCCCAAACTTCTTTGTGGCTAGTTTTCAGCACAAATAACTCCCAAACTTCGTTGTGGCTACTTTTAAGCACAAACAACTCCAAACTTCTCTGTGGCTAGTTTTCAGCTCAAATAACTCCCAAAGTTGTTTGTGGCTACTTTTATGCACAAATAACTCCCAAACTTCTTTGTGGCTAATTTTCACCAAAAATAACTCCCAAACTAATTTATGACTAGTTTTCAGCAAAAATTACTCCCAACTTCTTTGTGGATAGTTTTCAGCACAAATAACTCCCAAAGTTGTTTGTGGCTACTTTTTTAAGCACAAATAGATCCCAAACTTCTTTGTGGCGAGTTTTAGCACAGATAACTCCCAAACTTCGTTGTGGCTACTTTCGCACATCCCTGTTCATGTTGTTGGTTGATTTGTTTTTATGAGTATGCCATGGTAATTTTCATTTCAGCATCATACATGTGAATAAACAAGTTTAGCATGCAACTGAATTATAGAGTTTACTGTGAAATATTATACCAGAGATCATGCAACTCATATAGCATACTTAAGGCAATATATACGTCTTTGGGGGACATGCAGATTATCTTTTATAATCAACAAAATAATAGGGACATTTACCTTTGACGCGTAACTTCTACCTTTCTCTTGACTGGATTTGGGTTGCTCTGATTGCTTGTTGACAAAAGGATGAATTGGATACCTGTATTATGCCTAGCTATATGTAGTGTGTATAGATAGCTTATATTGATGGAATTTGTATGAAGGTATGTGGCAAGTGTGACTATTGTGTTTCTTTCTGTGTGTGTGGATAGTTATTTTTGGGTATTTTCTTTGGGTGTATGCAGGCTTTGGTGCGTTATGAATGATGTGAAGGTGATTTGCTATAAGGATAGTGAGAATTGCAACTCTAGATGATACGTGTATAGAGAATAGAAACTGGATGCTTTAGGTCTTACAAATTGCCAACGTGTGTATGTTTATCTGTGTACTGGAATGATGTCAAAAAGTAATCCCTCTATTGTGTGGTAGGTGGCTTTTTATAGTTGGTTACAGACTTAAAGAAAAGCCTTTTGAATTGCTTCTCTTTTGAGCTCACCAACTTTTTTTCTGATTATTCTCCCTGCCCACTAATATTGCCATTATTGAGGGCCTTTTGATGAAATATAATTGCAGGGCATTGATATGTGATTTGCTTCATGTTATGGCCACTTCCTTTTGGGATTCTTTGTATCCCTTTTTCTTGTTGATTGCCCACTTTTCTCTCTGCTACTTAATATAGCTATTGATGCTATGTGCTTGTGTAACTGAAATTTTGGTTATTATTGACTATCATCTTCTGAATTCCTCTTTCCTTATTGGTAATTCTAATTCATAACTGCCTCACTTCCTCCTTTTTATCATTGTCCCTTCAATTATTTCAACAATGTTTTTTGTTTTGGAACGTAACTGCTGGGAGTGATTTGAATTTCTCAGCTACTAAAAAAAAAATTGTGTGCCATAATTCTTTTTAAATTAATATTGAGAAGTGACTTTTTATTTATTCAACACATGAAATCTTGGAATTTCTTCTAAATTAATATGGCTTATTAATTTAAGGTAGTGCTCTGAATTTAAACCACAAATTCAAGGATAAATATGGTACAAAAATTGTCACAATTTTTTGACTTTTTTGTTGCTTTGAATTTTTTTGTATTTTTTATAGGCCGGACAAAATCGAGTGTTCACAATCATACTATAATTAATTATGATACATATCATGATCACCCAAAGGTTGATCATTGCATGTAATTATGATTTTGATGCCATAAGGATAATTAATTGGATCTGTTCATTAATTATAATGCATATCTTGATCACCCAAAGGTGGATTATTGCGTGTATTTAATGACATTAAAGTTTTAAGCATACTTATTTGTGCTCGTTTATCCAAAGATAACATACATGTTTAAATAATATGATTAATTACTAATTAAAGAATAATATTTGACACATCATTAGTAAGGTTTAATGCATTTAAACTTTATTCAAAAATAAATTAAGTGCATTGATAAAAGTTTAGTTTGAATCCATAAAGGTTTATTCAAAGCATTAAAGTGTGAGCATATCTTATTTCAGCTTCATTCGATGCATTCGCCTTAGGCAATGAATATTTCAAGTTCAACGTACTGGATTATGCTCATTGGTCCGAACAGATCCAATTCTTACTAGGTGTGATGGAGTTGGACTTGGCCATCATTATGGATAATGTACCAACCATAACTGAGGCAAGCTCGGAGGCAGACAAGACTCTATATGAGGCTTGGGAGCGGTCAAACATGTTGAGTCTTAGCTTGATGAAAATGTCAATCTCTTACAATGTCAAGTCATCTATGCCTAAGACGCATAATGCAAGAGAATTTATGAGAATGATAAAGGAGTACTCCCAATCACACATTATTGATAAGTTTGTGGTGGGAAATCTCATGACAGAGTTGACGACCAATAAATTTGACTAGTCGCAGCCCATTCATGAACATGTAACCAATATGACAAATCTGGCTGCGAAAATGAATGGGATGAGAATGGAGGTGACAGAAGAATTCTTAGTACAGTTCATCATTAACTCTTTTCCTGTTGAGTTTGACTAATTACAATATAACACCATAAATGAGAAATGAAATTTTCAGGAAGTAAAGGTCATGCTTGTTAAGAAGGGGAAGGTTAAAGAAAATTAAGAAAGATTCCATTTAGGAGTCAGGTAGCACCAGCAGATTCAAGCCAAACAATAGGAACAAATGAAAGGGGAAGGAAAAGATTTCCATTAAAGAATGAAAAATCCATAAAGAGATGAAGTGTTTCTTCTGTAAGAAGAATGAACACTATAAGAAGGATTGTCCTAAAAGGAAGAAATTGTTCGAAAAGAAAGGTAAACATTTTTTTTTTGTTATAGATGAATTATTTCTTACTGAGGTTCCTAATAATACTTGGTGATTAGACTCTGATGCAACAACTCGTGTATCACGTTTTGTGCAGTGATTCCTTTCAATCCGAACCCAGGAAACTGAGAAGTTTCTTTACATGGGGAACAAAATGAAGACACGAGTTCATAGAATTGGAACATACAGATTGATCCTAAATAGTGGAAATTATTTAGATTTAGAAAAGTGTCTTTATGTTCCTGAATGTTTCAGGAACTTTGTTTTTATTGCTAGGATGGATCCTATAGCTTTTAATTTTAAGATTGGACACTCTAGTTTTAATATGTATAAACATTCGTACTATTTCAGTTCTGGTACATTAATGAATGATTTATATTGTTTCAGTCTTGATTTTAAATTTAAGGAATCTTTATTTAATGTTGAACATGTTGTTGGTAACAAGCTTAAAGATTTGGACAAAAATTATGCTTACTTGTGGCATAAATGATTAGGCCATATTTGGATTTTGGCGATTGATATGTTTGTTTAGATTGCATTAAAAGAAAACAAGCTAAACACATATCAAATAACCCATCCACAAGAAGTAGAAAACTTCTTGAATTGATACACATAAATATTTGTGGTCCTTTGATGTTTCGTCTTGGGGTGGTGAAAAGCATTTCATCACTTTTATAGACGATTACTCACATTATTGTTACTTATATTTGTTGTAAGAAAAATCTCAATCATTGGATGTTATAAAGGTATTCATTGACGAGGTTGAAAGGCAACTTGAAAAGAAGGTTAAGGTTGTGAGGTCTGATAGAGGTGGTGAATATTATGTAAAGTATAATGAGAATGGACAATGTCTAGGACCATTTGCGAAGTTTCTCGAAGGTCGAGGCATATGTGCTCAGTACACTTCCCTTACACACTGCAACAAAATTGTGTGGCTAAAAGGCAGAATCGTACTTTAATGGAACTGGTTAGATCAATGTTAAGTGATTGTGATGTACCTTTATCATTGTGGATGTACGCATTAAGGACCACAACGTATCTTCTAAATAGGGTTCATAGTAAGGCAGTTCCTAAAACTCCCTATGAGTTATGGACTAGTAGGAAACTCAGTTTGAGACATCTCCGTGTTTGGGGTTGTCCAACAGAAGTAAAGGTGTACAACCCACATGAAAAGAAGTTTGATGCAAAAACCATTAGTGGTTTCTTTATCGGCTATTTGGAAAGGTCAAAAGGGTACATATTTTATTGTCCTAACCATAACATGAGAATAGTTGAGTCTTAAAATGTTAGGTTCATTGAGAATAATCAAACCAGTGGGAGTGATAAATCACGAAAGGTGAATATTATGAAGATTTTAGATAAATCTTCTTCACCGAAGATGTCTCCTCAGGTTGTTGTTCCTTTGGTTATATTATCGTCAAAAACCCACAAAGACAACAAAATAATATCCAAAACCCACAGGATGAACAAATAGTTAATGAAATCATTAATGATCAAGTGATGGAAGAATCGCGATAAATAACATTTAGAAGGTCTGAAAGACAAAGAAGACCAACTATTTCTATTTATTATATTTTATATTCACTTGAACATGAATGTACTTAAAGACCTCTTTTCTGAATGGTGACTTAAATGAGAAAGTTTATATGAACCATCCCAAAGGGTTCGTGACCACAAAAAAGGAAAATCTAGTGTGTAGATTAAATAAGTCAATATATGAACTGAAACTAGCTTCCAAATAATGATATATAAAGTTCAATGATACCATTATGTCCTATGGGTGTTTGGAAAATATTGTTGACCGATATATTTACATGAAAGTCAATGGAAGCAAGTTTATAATATTAGTCCTATATGTTGATGACATTCTGCTTGCTACAAATGATAAAGTATTGTTGCATGATGTAAGAAGTTTCTCTCTAATAATTTTGAAAAGAATGATATGGGTGAGGCATCCTATGTGATAGGAATAGAAATATTTTGTGATAGATCACAAGGATTGTTGGGAATGACTCAGAAATGATATATTAATAAAGTATTAGAGAGATTTAGAATGGAAAAGTGCTCCGCAGGGATAGTTCCAATCCAGAAAAGGGACAAATTTAGTGAAAACAAATGTCCAAGGAATAATTTGGAACGTAAGGAAATGGAATCTATTCCCTATGCATCAGTAGTTGGGAGTTTAATGTATGGTCAAACATGAACTAGGCCGAATATCAGTTTTGTTGTTGGAATGTTAGGCCAATATCAAAGTAACCCCGAAATGGACAATTGGAAGGTTGCAAATAAGGTTCTAAGATATTTGCAAGGTACTAAGGATCACATGCTCAGGTATAAAAGGTCATATCATCTTGAGGTGATCGGTTATTCATATTTAGACTATGCAGGATGTGTGGACTCAAGGATATCAACATTTGGGTATGTCTTCCTAATGGTGGATGAGCCATATCATGGAGCCATATCATGGAGCCATATCATGGAGCCATATCAACATTTGGGTAGACAATCTGTAATTGTTTCGTCCACTACGGAGCTGAGTGTGGCATGCTTTGAGGCCACAAATCATGTATTATGGTTGCAGAACTTTACTTCAGAGTTTGACATTACAGACAGTGTAGCTAGGCCGCTAAAATTTTATTGTACTAATTTTGTAGCTATCTTCTTCTCTAAGAATGACAGGTATTCTAGAGGTACCATCATATGGATTTAAAGTTCCTGTAAGTTAAAGAAGAAGTACAGAAAGATAAGGTGTCCATAGAGCAGTGTCTAGAGCAATAACAAGACCAAAAGCTTCTTCAGAGAGTGTTCCTATTATCCATCATCGTAGGAGGCGATCTACCTTGCACCATGTGATGTAAGGCATCAGTTAATTATTAAACAAAAATTTCTATGTTTGTGGTGTTGGCTGGATTTGGTATTGTGTATTTTTCAGGGAAAAGATCTTCGTTCGATAGGTGATCAAGCATATCTTGATTTTCTGCAAGAGCCAAAGCTTGCTCTCGTCGTAGTGGATAGTTTGTTGCTCTCGGTTTGAGTGTGATGGAATTGCCAACATTGAGGGACATAGAAGTCATAGTAGCATGATTGAGGGTGTTCACAAAGGCTCTAGATACCTAATGAAGAATTAAAAGGTTGTAGAATTGTTTTTATTACACTTT